TTGCTGCTCTAAGACCACAGTTCTGGGGTTAGATCCAGTCACCTGCAGGCCTTTGTTTCCTCACCACAGTAATTATGTGAGTGCTTAATTTATGTGATAGCTTGATGGGAAGTGGGCACCTGAACTGTTGGTACAGGCTGAGATAGTTGTCCATTTACTAAGAGTAGGGGGAGCTGGGTTATTTGCCTGCTTGGTTTTCTTTTGGAAAATTGCACTTCAGTTTAATTCCAGTAATCATGATCTTGGTGCCATTGCCTAGGCAGCCAAAACAGTGCCATCCATGCATTCAAGGGCAGGTCTTAGCAGGCTTGGGTGCGAGAGGAGCCCAAGGTTAGCAGATGGGAGGGCTTAAATAACAGGAGGGGGACAGATGGGAAGAATGATGTAATGGAGTTTTCTTGAAAATAGTATGGGTGGCTGGAACCCTGGCACTACACTGCACCATTTGTGTAAGTCCTGCTTGCCTTCTTTGATCCCTGCATTTAACTGACACCTATTGTGGATTTCTGCAGGCTCCAACCGAGAACAGAGTCCCTTCTCCAAGCTCTTGTTTCTGAAAGTGCTGATAACCGGGACGCTTTACTCACTGCTTGGAAGAAGAACCCAAAATGTAAGCTATCCAGACGTTCAGAGAACACACTCAGCCATATTCCCTGTTACAGTAGTGCTGCTTTTGGAGCAAACTGGGCTTCAACCCAAATGCAACAGCTGCCAGTCAGAATATACTGTACTGGGCTACACAGATCTGAGGAACGTCTGTTGCATATAGGGCCACATGGGATGTTCAATGGGACGTTGAATGTATTTTCATCATTATCATTTTGCTTATTTGTCAAAACAGCCAGAATGCAAACGTTTTCAACTAACACGTCCCTGAGTGTGATTTTTACACCCAAGATGCCTTAAAAACTTATCAGAATGTACCACAAAATTATATTTTTTCTCCCTCACCCACTCCAATTTATTCTCTTCTATTGCAGATCTGTTGACAGAATATTGCCAGTGGATCCCAGAAGCAACACACAAAGATGTATCTAAAATCTGGCCCCCTCTACAGTAATGCCATGCTTTTTCAAGCAAGGGTGTGCTCCAGTTCACCTCACCCACCCCCTTCTGCATAACCCCCTCCAGGAACCAGTGCTGCCTGTGAAAATACAGAAGAGAAAAGCCATGCCTGTATGGAAAGGAGAAGAGGGCATGAGAAAAAGAGGGAAGAAAAGCAAAAGAGGAAGAGTAAAGGGAAAAGAAGGGGATGTTCACTTGCTCCCAAGGAGCAGCTTTATGTGGTCTTGTGCAAACTTGTTATGCTTCCATTTAAGGCAGGCACCAAATCTGGGCACAGAAAGGGGAATGCACGCACAAGTATTCTCCCTCCATTAGACAGAATGGAGAAGCCCTCTCGTTTTATTTGTGGGCAGTGCAACGTGTCTTTCTGGTGAAATCAAAATAAATCACTAAGTGATGATACAGCATGTGCTATTTTAACACATTGGCCTTTACAGGGTAGGCTGGACTCTCAAGATGGTTGGACTCCTGGCCAAACACAAGTTATACCAGCAGCATCACCATGTTTGTTCTCTCTGGTTTGTTGGGTTTCTTTTTGAAGAGCTAAGCAGCCAGATCCAGTACGGTGGTCAGGATAAAGGGATTCCTGTATCTTTAATAGTGGTTGAAGTAGAGACTTTGGGGAGGCATAGCTTTTCTGGCCTCTACATGGCAAACAGTATCCTAAGAGCTGCCCCATACCTTTTCCATCTAATCACCCTAATGTATCCTTCCCCATCTACGTACCCTCTACATGTTTTGGACCTCAACTGCCATAAATCTCAATGGTCAGGAATGCTGACAGTTAGCTGCAAATTATTTGGAGGGCACCAGGTTGGAGGAGGCTATCTTAAAGAGAATGGGGGGAAATAAGTAAAACTGGAAGGCGTTCTGTATTGCAGTTTGGGATTCAAGGTCGATCTCAAGAGCTCAAAGCTCTGCTAGTTTAACAGACTTGCCATGGGGGTCTATGTATATTCATGTTCAGGGCTTCACTAGTTTGAGGGGAGGGGGTCTTGGCATTCCTGATCTAGAATGCATGACCTACGATGTGGAGTGGGGAGGCATGGCAGAGCATGGACACCAACACTCTCCCAATGTTCTGCAAAGTTCTGCAACAGATACATTCAGACATTCTGCTAGACTAGTGTCATCTGAGCTCTAAACCCTTTAGATCGGGGTAGGCAACCTTTCCCCTTTAAGGGCCAAGGGACTTCAGCTCCCAGAATCCCAGGAGCTATTGGCCAACATGGAACTATTGGCCAACATGGAACTATTGGCCAACATGGCTGAGGCTTCTGGGAGCTGAAGTCCCTCGGCCCTTAAAGGGGAAAGGTTGCCTACCCCTGCTTTAGATCTAGAATCTGTTCACTTATACTAAACATTGTTGTTAACTGCCCTTGAGTTGATTTCATGGAGACTGTATGGATGAGACATCTCCAAGACTCCCTATCCTCCTTTGCTCTGCTTAGGTCCTGCAGATTGAGCCTGTCCATCTGGCATGCAGTCTTCCTTTATTTCTTCTGCCTTTCCTAGCATCATAGTCTTTTCTAATGAGTCGTGCCTTCTCATGATGTGGCCAAAGTATGACAGCCTCAGTTTAGTCATCTTGGCTTCTAGGGAGAATTCAAGCTTATCTGTTCAAAGACCCATTTGTTTGTCTTTCTGGCTGTCCACAGTATCCTCGGCACTCTTCTCCAGCACTACATCTCAGGTGTGTTTCTTTTCTTCCTATCTGCTTTCTTCACTGTCCAGCTTTCACTTCCATATATGGTGATGGGGAATGCAGTGTCTTGGACAATTCTGACTTTGGTGCTTAGTTGTATACCATTACACATTGTCTTTACACAGCTGTATACCTTCACATATCTTTACGCTTGTCTACTTCTTTCATAGCTGCCCTTTCCATTTTCATATTCAAAGCATAGTTAAGCTTAAATGTTGCTTGTCCGAAGTCCAGACAACACAGCAATATGGTTAATCAAGGATGGAGGCTTTTTTTCTCTTCCATATAAATGTTGATATTTCCTTCCTCCAAATATTAAAGCAGTTTTCATTATGAATTATAGGCAACGTTTGAAATAAATACATCATTTTTGGGAGTACATTCATTTTTATTCAGGATATCCTTCCTAGGAAAGATATTTATATTTTTGACCACTTTATAAGATCTTTTTTTACCTCCTCCCATACCCTGTTGTAATTATTCTCAAATAGATCCACGTTTCTTTTTGTTATGATTACTTCTGAATATTTTTTTTCCTCTATTTTGAATTTTGACATTTCCCTTATTTGTTCTTCCTCCTCTTTGGTGAAGTTCTTCGTTACTATCGCTGTGTTATCCTGATTTATTTTAAAACCTGATACGTCTCCAAATTCTTTCATAATCTGTAGTAATGAGGATGGAGGCTTGCATGTCGTGAGACAGGAATACAGAGGCTCTGAAGACCCATTGTAATTTATGAAAGCATATTTTGGTGCATTGTCCCTTGTCAATATCCCCATGTGTAGAGAAAGAGAGAGAGACCAGTCCATGATACTTTCTGTATATATTTGTTATATCTGTGCTGTGATGAAGTCATGTATCACTTAACCTATGTATATATTTCAAAATACTTTACATTTGTGGAGTTGAAACGTTGAATGAGAAATAAGTGCAGTTTTGGAACATTCACAAGTGCCTATGTCAAACTTTCTTTGTGGAGACCTCCAGCAGTGTGGAAATTGCAGGGATGCAATTTCGTATTGATCCAGGAGTGTGAGAGAGAATAAAGATTCGGCCTGAACAACATCAGTCCTGTGGGGTTTTTTCCTTGTCTAGTTTTCCCGCTAATGTAAAGCAGCCACTCGAGCGATTGTCGCCACGCTGGGTTGCATAGAGCAAATGCACATCTGTTGTAGGAACCACATATTTTCCATGATGAGAAGACTGTTGTTGCTTTGTAGAGAGCAACTGCAAAGCTGATGTGGCTTGATCTGTGTTGAAATTACAACCACGGTGAACTGTTTTGCGGGCACCTTATTTGACAAACCAAAGCCTCTGTAATAAATTCATAAATCAATCAATTGTATTTAAACAATGCCACTCTCTGAAATGAAAGAGCATTGTTGTTTTTCTGCTCCACTGTTTTTTCTATCTGTGTCTCTAAAGTTTGCAAGATCAAGCTATTTTCATCACCTCAGTGCTTGTCTAGGTTTTTTTAAGAGTCTAGTAAAATAAAAAAAGCAGGTATACCGTATGTGCATGAAAAACAACATCTTTTGCATCTGGCGCACAGAGGCACATTAATCCCAGCATTTCTCTTTAGAAGATGGTTTTGATTTGAATGTTGTGTGTTGAATGCCTTCAAGTTGTTTTTGACTTGTGGCGACCCTAAATCGGTTCTTCAGAGAGGCTTTGCCATTGCCGTCCTCTAAGGCTGAGAGAGTGTGACTTGCCCAAGGTCACCCAGTGGGTCTCCATGGCCAAGAGGGGATCCGAACCCTGGTCTCCAGAATCCTAGTCCAACACTCAAACCACTATACCACTGAGTCTTTTAAATACCTGCCCCCAATACTCTTGTGGGCAGGGAGTGAGCAGCAATAAATAAATCAGCAATAAATACTTGCTTTGAGGCGATACAAGTGTTTGTGAATATTCTCACATTGAACCACTGATGGTTCTCACTGTTTGGTACTTCCCGAATTGATTTTTGCAAGAGAAGAGGTTAAGCCTAAATGAGAATTGAATTGGGGAACAGAGGGGGGTAAAAGGAGCCAGAAAAGTAATTGAAAGAAATCTGTCCGGCTGTAAATGAATGAGCATGTATTTAAAAGGACTTGAATTCTGTATTTAGGCACAAGTGTAGTCTTACTAGAATCATGAAAATTGCCTATGTATTGATTTTGCTCTCAATGTTCGATTCCCTCTCTGTGTGAGCCTTAAAGTCATCTGCTGACCCCAAGAATTTCATAGGTCTTTCCATTCCTTCTTCCAGCCTATAGCCTACAGCACCTGGCATTCTTTGGTGGTCTCCCATCCAGGTATTTACCAGGGCTGCCCCTGCTTAGCTTCCAAGATCAGATCTGGTGCGTTTAGGGCTGTGGTCCCCAAACTTTAGTCTTCCAGATGTTTTGGACTTTTGACTCCCAGAAGCTCCAGCCAGCTTGGCCAACAAGTCAGGAATTCCAGCACAAGCTTTTTGAAGTCCAAAAAACCTAGAAGACCAAAGTTTGGGATTCGATGCTTTAGGGCAAGGGTAGGCAACCTTTCCCCTTTAAGGGCCGAGGGACTTCAGCTCCCAGAAGCCTCAGCCATGTTGGCCTATAATAGTCCCATGTTGACCAATAGCTCCTGGGATTCTGGGAGCTGAAGTCCCTCAGCCCTTAAAGAGGAAAGGTTGCCTGCCCCTGCTTTAGGGTATTTAGGTTTTGCTGGGATGATCCATGAGGAATCCGGCTAAAGTTTTGGACTTTCAATGCTAAGCAAGATGCAGTCATCAAAAAGCTTGTGCCAAATTGTGGCTGCAAGAGGAATACCATTGAAATGTACAGCGATACACACACTGCTCTTGTAAGGCTTCAGGAAAAATGTAGAACCTGGAGATGCCAGGGATTGAACCCGGGGCCTCATACATGCAAAGCATGCGCTCTACCACTGAGCTACATCCCCAGATGGAAAGCAGGTTTTGCAAGTCTAAAGTCACCCGGGTGTTGTGCTAGATTCCTCCTCTCCCAGGTTTTTTGGCTGTTCTCATTTTTCAGTTTTTCAGTGTGCACAGAAACCCAAATGTTTTTAGCTCCTGCAGCCACAAAGGAGAGTTGTTCCGAGCAACATCCATTGTCATCGGCTAGTCAAGAGTGTTCTTTGAAATGCGCCGGGGTTAGCATGTAGCCTGTTGAATTATGGATGACTTGAAATCTTGTGCGACATCTGGCAAATAACAAAGGTGTAAGATGTGGGGAGCGAGATTATGTTGGCAAGGGTAGGCTCATGTCAACCATTTCAAATCCTGGTTGCACTTTTGCAATCCCTGCTTCTCTTTTGTCCTTGGACTTGACTTGCCCTGCTTTGGAAAACAACCTGGAAACAGAGCAGAAAGGACAGATGTGTGCTTCCTTTATGAGAGGTGCTGTCAGCTATCCTTTGGGACATCTTCATCCTTTTTCAAAGCCTTCCTACCCACTCAGGCCCCCTTGGTCCAGCCACGTTTTAAAGGGAAACAACCTCCTGTTCTCCAAATGAAAAGAAAATCCTCAGAGGGAAGCAGTGGCAAACCTCTGAACAAACCTCCCCAAGAAAACCCCTGTGACGGAGTCGCCTTGGGGTCCCCAGAAGTCAGAAACAACTTGGAGGCATGCG